TTAAACTTGACAAGAACAACTGAGACAAAATAGAAAATAATGCAAAAGGCAATGCAAAATACGAAATGACTCATTTCTTTGTAAGTAAATTGGCGTTTGTAAATGTTTTTGAATATTTTTTAGTTTTTTAAAGTGAAAGTCTAGGTCTTTATACAATAACATCTCTCAACAACACAAATTTAAGCTCATTTTTATACTTGTTCGAACAGCTTAATAAACAGTTGAATATTTGGTAAAACATTATATTTCATTCAAAAATAAATAAATTATCGGTAGATATATACAAAATTATTGAATGAAAGTCTTCTTTGTTTTGCCGATGGGACCCCGCGATAGGAGGCGAGCAAAGCTGCATTTTTTTGAATGAAAAACATACGATAGTTGGTTAAAAACAACCGAATTGTTAAAGATTTACAAAGCTTAATAAATGATAAATATTTGTTGTCGTAATATGCTCCCCGTGTTATATGTCCTCCAACATTAAAATAAATTAAGCTTATCTATAGAAATATAAAAAAGTCTTGAGAAAAGTCTTTCATTCGTCGAGAAAAATGCTTGTCAAAAATAATAATAATATACGATTGTTTGCTAAAAAAAACACACCTGAATTCTTGAAGAACACTGTTTGATCCATCTTTGACTACATGAAAGTATTTTTGTAATTGTTTTTGGTCTATAACTTGACCTAGAGCGATTTTTTCTGTGCATTTGAGAGACGCATTTGTGAGTAGCTTTGCTTTGACATCAAACAGGATTCCTGTGTTGTGTACACGGACGGACGGACGGACGGACGGACGGAAGTGACGTCAGCCAAGCCATGAAAAATCAACCCAATGGTTTACCATTTTTTCTTAAGTATGGTGCTCCGCGCGGGAGCTCCGCTATTAGTTCGTAACATTGCTATCTTTGCTTATGTTTTTTTTTTTTTTGGTCTGTCAATTGCGAAAAATGGCCAAAGTTGTATATTGTAAAGGCACAGATTACAGTCAAACAAGCTCAAGCGTTGACCCCTAGATTCGATTAATGAAACATTAGTCAATTATTCCTTTTATGCGTACGAATCGGAATAATGCAATCTTGCAATATTCAAATGAAAATTCAGTTCGTTATTCGACTCGTGATTAAGAAGGTAAATCATCTAAATTACAGATACCTTCGACCAGAAGTCGCTCTCTTATTTCATAAGCATACACACTAGGTTTGTAATTTCCCTGCCTCAATCAGTATTTGGAGGATATCATCAGTAATTTTGTAGGGAACGCTCACGCCTTGAGCGAAATGGAGACACAGTTCCATGTCGTCAATAATGTTGAAGTATTTTCTGGACTCCCCAGCTAGACATTTTCAGTTGTCGCGAAATTGCATTATTGGAAAATCCGCTATTGCTGAGATGAACAATTTCCTGTCGAATAATATCAGGTAAAGGCTTTCTCGGCACATAAACCTCACAATGATTCGTAATAATTACCAAGCTTGCTGACTGTACATGAATACAACATACTCGGGACGTTAATTTTACAGACAGCCCGTGCGTTTATTTGCAAATGATGCACACTTACATCAGTTTCGAACCCATAATTAAAACATGGTCCTCATTTTCTTTAGCCCAGGTCAGATTTTTCCTGTTTGGCGGGTCGTCCTGGTATCCCTGGTCTCCACGGTACACCCGGTGCTCCTGGACGAGACGGACGAGATGGCAGACCAGGTATTCAAGGTAAACAAGGTCCTCGAGGGTTTGGCGGGACTCCGCCAGGCAAGCAAGGACCTCCCGGAACTCCTGGTGCACCCGGTCCCAAGGGTCCAAAGGGTGACGCTGGTCCAAAAGGAGAAAAGGGGGAGCCTGGTGCGAGAGGATTCTCAGCCTATTCGAACCGGAAAGAATGTTCGTGGATCAACATCGACGAAGGAAAAGACAATGGGTTGATCAGGGTATGTATGCTTACTTTGGCAGTAGTTCATAAGCCCATTCTATAAAAAAATATATATTCTAAGACTTGATATTTGATCCAGAAGATTTAATAACCATATTCCCAATATAGAATGATAATCCCATATTTATGCTTAGTTTGATAATCTTCTTTAATTCTTTGACTTTTTACTGCAGGATTGTGTTTTTCAAAAGAAAGACAATAATTCCATTCTCCATGTTTACTGGAATGGCAACCTAAGGATACATAATTGTAACGACTGTTGTAAGCGCTGGTTCTTCACGTTCAACGGTATTGAATGCAAGACACCCCGTGCTATTGACGGTATCGTGTACATGGCAAAAGGAGTGGCTCACAACATTCACCGCGTTCGCCACATTGAAGGTCACTGTGACAAGATCCACAAGGGACCTGTTCGTGTGGGCTTCAATGTCGGGAACTGTGCCGGGTATGGAAATGTTGACGCCAAAACCGGATGGAATTCAAACAGTCGTCTGTTCGTAGAGGAGGTACCCAGACCCCAGCCGTAGAACTATCCATTTCCTACAAGACGTAAGCCAGATTGATTGAATGCGAAGTCTAGTAAAGCACTATAACAAGCACTTTGAGATGTTGTTTAATCCATGC